ACCTCGTGCCCTCATGCGTCGTCCACCTGCTCGCACCGCGGCCGACCCACGATGCTCCTCGGTGACCACCAGCTGCGGAGACGCTCGGTCGCTATCCACTCAGGAGACGGGTCGTCAGGGTCTCCCGTCCTCTCGCCTTCGCGTTGGGGCGGCGGAGGCGGCTGCGGAGGCGAAGCGGGAGAGGCAGGCACGCACCCCGTGTAACTTTCCGAAAGAAAACCATCCGTCACTCCTGCCCGTCACTCCTGCCCGAAGCCGCCGTGCGTTCCTGCAGATGTTTCTGGCCGGTGCCCACGGCTCTCCCAGCGCTGGCTTTCGCTCCGGCGCCCACGTTCCAAACCAAGTCCAGTCAGTCTCCACGAACCGGACCCTCCGCCAGGCTGACGACTCTGCGTCCCTCTTCCCTCCTCCTCGGCCGTCCCGAGGCTCTCGTTTCCATCACGCCGTCCGTCCGTCCGTCCGTCCCCTGTGCACTCCTGGGGCGGTGTGTCTCGCTCTGCCATGTCCCCGAGCCCGCCCGCCTGCGCGAGCCCCGCTCTTGTTCATGATGTCTGAGATTGGCTCCTGAAGTCCTGAGAAGTGATGTGCACGGCACCGGCCCTTCTCCACAGGAGTGCACACGCTCCGGCCCGATGGCTTGTGGGGCCCTTTCTCTCGCGACCACGGCGACTCTGACGGCCTCACCCTCGCAGCCTCCAAGGTGGTACCTCTCGCCGGCGGGGGTCCCTTCCTTCGCTCGGCGATCTTTCCCGTCGAGTCCTGCGCCCAACGCTCTTTCCACGTCCTCACCGTCGGCGGGCTGACCCGGACACGCTGATGCTTCCCACGGGGACGGCGGCCAGGGGCTGTGTCCACCTCCAAAGCGCTTCACAGGGCAGTCCCTCCGGCCGGGTCCTCTCTTCCTCCTGAGACAACTCACCGATGGAATCAATCCAGACAACGGGGCTCCTCGGCCAGGTCTCTGTCGTCCAGCCCAAGCTGGTGCCTGTCTGTCTTCCCTTCAGCTCCGTGACCGGGGCAGCCCGCTCATCAGCCCAACTTCGCACAACACAGCGGAGGCAGCCACGCCTTCGTGCCTTCCATCCTGGTGCTCCCTTCTCTTCCTTCCTCCTCCCTCCTTCCGTGTGGGGTGCACCCCCTGCTTGCACGCCTGTTCCAGCCGCTGTCCTTTCTCCTGCGTCACTCTCTTCCTGGTCCCCCAAACTGCCCGCTGCCACTCAGCCCTTCGACGCTGCCACCGTCGCTCTGACATTTCATTTTTTCTTAAGCAAACTCCTTCCAAACGATCCCATCGTCCTCGGCTGACATCACCTCTCCCAGCTTCAGATCCTCCCCTCCCCTCAGCTTCCCGTGATCCTCTCACGCCTTCGCTTTCTTCTGGAATCATCCTTGACTCGATAGGCGTGCGTCTTTTTATTGCAATAGATCCTGCACCCACATGAACACGGCGCTCCCGATGCAAGACGCAGAAGGTGTCCGGCAGGAAGTGCGAGGTCCCCGTGCCGCTCGCGACCCCTCGCGTCCTTCCTTTCCTTTTCTTTCCCATGGGATCCCTTCACCTTGAACTTTGCCTTGAACCATCCAACCGCTGCCACCGCCGCCCCTCCATCCATCAGCACACACCACGCAGTTTCCGTTGTAACGTTTCCCTTGGGCTCACTCCAGCGTCACCAGGGGCACTTCCTGGGGGTCCCATGGTGTTATCCGAGGCTATGGTTTTGCACTGAACACGATGAAAAACATGGGAGAACCACAGAGATACTTTTTACTGCGACAGACAATTGACACGACAGACAAACGGCTCACACACGGGCACAGTGGGCACCACAGTCAGCATGGGCCGCTATGAACTGTCACGCTTTACATGCATGTTCTATGCTGGTGAAGAATAAAGCTGACTCGCATGTACATGTATGTGACATACCTAACTTTGAAAACAATTTTCTACACGGTTCACCTGCCAGTTTTTTCCAGATTGTTCCAAATCTCCAAAGAATTTTACAATATAGTGACTGGGGAAAAAATCTACATATTAGTAGATCCATGCAGTTCAACCCTGTGTTGTTCAAGAGTCAACTGTAAAGTCACTGGTTTGAAATCTGTCTTCTTTCTAAGATAGACAGTGCTATAATTTTGCCCCTAAATACAGCTTTAGCAGCATCCCATAAATTTTAATATGCTATGTTTTCATCTTGATTCAGTTTAAAATACTGTTGTGTTTTTTTGGAGTTTTTTTTTTTCTGGGAAGAAAGAATAATTTTATTAGATCATTACTACATTTAAAACAGGTTTTTTATTTTTTAAGGAATTTATTGGGGTAACATTGGTTAATAATATTATATAGGTTTCAGGTGTACAGTTTTATAGCACATCATCTGTATACTGTATTGTGCGCTCACCACCCCAAGTCAAGTCTCCTTCCTTCACCACTGGTCTCCCCCTCTACGCTCCTCTACCTCCCCCAACCACTCTTCCCCTCTGGTCATCGCCACACTGTTGCCTGTGCCTATGAGTTTTTTTGTGTGTTTTTTGCTTAATCCCTTCACCATTTTCACCCAGCCTGGAAATTTCTTTTCATATCTTCTTTGACTAATGAATAGGTTGTAGGTGCTAATTTCAGTATTCAAATACTGAAGGATTTTCAAGAGCCATGTCTCCTATTGATTTCTAATGGAAATAAGGAAACACCATGTAATAAATTAATACAAAAATTAGTGCTACTTTGATAGAATCAGGGACAGAAAATGGCCAAGAAAAGAGTTCATCTATCCTTACCGCATTGATCACTAGGTCCCAGGCAACACACAAGCTTCAATAAAACTTCCCAGGAAAGGTAGGGACCACTCCTCTCTTAGACATAGGTATTCCAAGTCTTAGACAGAAATAATGATATATTTCCATCTGTCTCCAATTGTTACCGCGAATAAATCCTTTTAAAAACCCAAAGCAGCACTGACATTTGAACTATTTTGTGTTTCAAAAGAAATATTGCCACTTTTCTTCCCCCAAAAGTAGTTGACCCATGTTATCGTCTTTCAACGTTCTCTGTGAGGTCTGATGATGGCACATCTCTGTCAACATGTGAGGTTGTAAAACCTTATGGTGCCCATTAAATTTATTGGGGTGACACCGGTTAATAAAATTACACAGGTGTCGAGGGTACTAGTCTATGACACAACATCTGAATATTCCGTTGCGTGTTCACCACCCAAAGCCAAATCCTCTTCCGTCACCATGTAGTTGGCCCCCTTTTCCCTGACACCTCTTCCCTCTGGTCACCACCACACTGTTGTCCGTGTCTATGAGGTGTTCGCAGACGGCCAGAGCCCTGATACAGGGCTCATAGTCAAAATACACAGAGAACTCACACCACTCAACACCAAAAAAACAATCCAGTAGAAAAATGGGCACAGGACCTGCACAGACACTCTCCCAAGGAGACCTACAACGGACAACAGAGACATGAAAAGACACTCAACCCCATGAGCTCTTGGGGAAATGCCAATCAAAACCGCAACGAGCCACCGCCTCGCCCCTGTTCAGTTAGGCCATTAGCAACAAGACAAGTGGCTGGGTGCTGGAGAGGCCGTGGAGAAGGGAACTCGCACTCACCGCCGGTGGGAATGGAGATGGGTGCAGCCACTATGGACAACCGTGCAGAGGGTCTTCAAAAAATGAAAAATAGACTTACCACGTGACTCGGCAATCCCTCTTCTGGGTATCGACCCCGAAAACCTGAAAACATTTATTCACAAAGGCATATGCAACCCAATGTTCATTGCAACATTATTCACGGTGGCCGAGACATGGAAACAACTGAAGTGTCCCTCGACAGAGGACTGGATAGAGAAGACGGGGTACATGCACACCATGGAATACGACTCAGCCATAAGCAAGGACAAAACACTTAGCATTTGCAATAACATGGATGGACCTTGAGAGTATCATGCTAAGTGATATACATCAGACAGAAAAAGCAAAGAACCATATCATTTCGCTCATGTGTGGGATATCAAACTGAAAGCAACAAACAAGGGAAAAAAACATGCAAATTTTATCACATAAAATCCCCAGGGTTGTAAAGAGATGAGCACAATTTTGCATACAATTTTCCACACTGGAAAAAGGAGAAACAATTCATCCATGTCAATCTTGAAAGAGTCAAAGAGAAATGGAAATAGAGTGCAGTGTGACCGCAAAAACCAACGAGCCATGAAGGTGCCATTCAGAAATCTGAATAACAGATCACGCGTCTCTGATAACATTTTGGCACATTTGGTTTTCGCTACAATAGTTTTAGGTCCAGTTGCTGAAAACTCTCTCCATTTCTCCATTTTATCATCAAAGCAACAAAAAAAAGAGTGAAGATGGAAGAAGAAATTACAAAGATTCAACAATGTAGGTCAGGTTGGTGAGGGTCTTACTAAAGAAAATGGTGTAAATATCCTCCTCTATAATAAAAGGGTAATATGCAAATTGACCCAAATGGTGGAATGACCTGGAACAACCAGTCGCTATGGTGTGCACTGACCACCAGGGGGCAGCGGGGCTGAGTGACACCCCCCCCCCACCGCCCAAGTACATGAATTTTCATGCACCCGGCCTCTAGTTTTTAAATAAGGCTCTAAAACGGGTGGGGAATATCCAGTCCATGGACTGTAGGAGGCCCATGAAGTCATGTGGCCTGGCCCTGCCAAGGCATTAGGGGTGAGTTAAT